GGGAAAGGAGGAGGAGAGAGGAGCGGGGAGGGAGAGATAGAGCGCGATAAAGAGAGAGAGCGGGCGAGGATGCGAGGGATGCCGGAGCAGCCCTCCGGAGCCGTGAGAGAGAACGCAGGGAGAACTCGCTCTCGCCGCGCGGCGCGCACGGACCCCGGGAGACGGACCCGAGCGCGGAGGAATTCGCGCCGCAGCCCCGAAAGTGGATTTAAAGACCAGCCGAGAGATTTCCACATTTTTGCATTACGTGCAGTCTTCTCTTCTTAAGAAACTACGCTCTTGCTTGGGGATATATTGCCAACAAACCGTCTTAAAGCGGAATATTTTTTTTGACTTCGCCGCCTCCCCTCAAATTGGAAAGCGACAACTAGGACAGGCGGAGTACCTGGGGGGTTTCTGGGGTGTGTGCGCGCAGTTGTGCTCTGGGGGGGTGGGGTGGGAATGGGAGACGGGGATCCTGTCCTGGGTGCTGGAGTGCATTAGCGGCAGAACCGGAGTCCCCGGAGGGACCTCTCCGTCTCGTGCGCCCGTCCCGCCGGCACGCGCCCGTGTGTGGGAGAGCGAGACCCGGCGGAGGGCGCGAGCGATGGCTCGCTGTGCGGCGGCGGTGTGCTTCCTCGTGCTCACCTGGGCGGAATCCCACCTGGCGCTCGCGAACAGGCACGCCGTGCACTGGAACAGCTCCAACGCGCAGTAAGTACCGGGGAGGGGGGGCGGGGCGGGTCGTACCTGCTTCCCTGCCACCTTCTTCTGTCCCCCCTCCTCTACCGAATACCGAATGTACCCCCCGAACCCCAACTCCCAGCCCCTCTCCCCCCCCCTGCTCCTTTCCCGGCAGGTGATGTGGACGTTTCTCCTCTTAGCGCGGCGTGTGCCACCTGTCTGCGATGCGCGCAGGCTGTCCGGCCGGGCCGGGCAGGCGGGCAGGGAGCTGCCCGTGTGTCTGTGTGCCCTGTGTGCCATCTCCCGTCCGCATCTCGGCCGATCTGTCTGTGCGCGCAGGCTGTCCGGCCGGGACGGGCAGGGAGCTGCCCGTGTGTCCGTGTGCCCCTGTGTGTCATCTCCCGTCCGCATCTCTCGCCGCCTGTATCTCGGCCGATCTGTGTGTGCGCGCATCTCCTGCGCTCGCTATCTGTCTGCATCTCTCGCTATCGCCGCGCGGATCTGCGCTCCTAGCGGTCTCCGCGTCTGCGGCTCCCGCTCGGCGTCTAGAGCGCCGTTTGGCCACTATCGGGGACCGAGCCGGTCCGGCTCACCTGAAAGCCGGGCTCTGTGCACCTGCGGGACCGCCGGCGAGTGAATCCGGCTGTCCTCTCGGCCCAGCGACGCCACGACCCCGGTGAAAGGAGAAGCGACCCGCCGGTCCTTCCTGCCTGCGGAGAAAACTTTCTCCCAGACTGCTGTTCTGAAACCTGCAGACAGGACACGAGCAGGGCGCTCTCACTGAAACACCGCATATCAGACTATGGAAACTGGGTAGTGGTGATTGTTTCTGCAGTATATCTTATATTCTCATAGTAACACTGTCCCTGTGATCTCTGGGTGCTGAGCTCAGCCAGTTTACTGGAGTAACACTGTTCCTGTGATCTCTGGGTGCTGAGCCAGTGTACTCTAGTAACACTGTTCCTGTGATCTCTGGGTGCT